CGAGAAGATACAATAATATCAGTAAATAGTAACACAGGTTAATAAGATGGCAGAAACTTGCCAACTGAAATGAAATGCTAAACACACTGAACAGTAACTACAACAGGTGAGAGCGGGGAACAGGCTTAGTCATAGTCACAGAAACAGTTCATATCAAAACAGCCAGGGAAGGCGAACATATAATAGACTGATTATTTTGAAGCTAGAGTCCATACGCAATGCGGTCAGGGAGGAAACTAGGGACAGATATTGACCAGAGTCCATATGACCAATAAATCCAGAGGTTTAAACTGGGAGGAGTCAGAGTTCAAGGGAGAAAACGGGTCAAAACTAGGACAAGCAAAGAGAAGAAATGCTGGAATGTGGTGAGAGACAAATTAATTGACAACATGCTGGCAACTAGTGAATGCTGACTGCTGCCTTTCATGCTGACAGGTTGATTACACTGATGGAAAACAGAGGAGTGTAAGTGGAACAGTATGGGATGGCGACAAGGGCCAGATAGGCAAGTGAAAATGTACCAAAATGAAAGCTGGACACAGGAAGTGCAGTGAATCACGTACAATGTCACAAAAGCCTTCATGGGCTTTCCTCATGGATCCACGTTTTTCAGCCGAGCTGGTTGAGACCATGTATGTTCAGGACTTCCTCTGGCTGATTGACTTCCTGTTGACAACCTGCACATTTGAATGGGATTTTAAAAAAAAATCTGCTGTAGACTTTCTAAATGTGAATGGACTGAATAGATTGAATTCTAATCAAACACTTGAGTTGACAACCTGCACATTTGAATGGGATTAAAAAAAAAATCTGCTGTAGACTTTCCAAATGTGAATGGACTGAATAGACTGAATTCTAATCAAACACTTGAAGTGTTTCTAATGCCCCAAAAATGGTTCATTTTTGTACTGGCCCAAATGCATTTTTCTCATAGACAGTCACGGCAAAAGGAGCAGCTCTTATAAACAGTGAATATACTTGGTATCAGTATCCAGTTTTCCATAATCCATATCTAGCGATCTTCTTCTTCCCCACCTTTTGCTGTTACATTGCTACATCTCTTGTTGATCAGCTGCATAGTGTGAAACCATCATATTATATATCATGTGTGTGCATGACATGCAAACAAAACAGGGCCTGGTTCATTAAAACATTGTACCACTGCTGGTCAAAAACTCCACAATGTAGCTTTGTTGGCAAACAGCTGCCTGTAAACACATCCAGCAAGTACAGAGCAACATTATCATCTCATTCATGTCGTGTTTTTGGCCACCTGATGAAAACCTTATTGTAGGTGTAAAAGGCCAGCTGCTCAAATCAAGTCATGTCAAATTTAATTTGTATAGCCCAATATCTCAAATGTGCCTCAGGCAGCTTTACAGTCTATTGTTACATATTCTGCAATTCTACAAACACAGTCTAAAAGACATTTACTTTATTGTTAATACTTTCCAAGGCACACAATAGTGTGTTGTTTGCTAAAGGCCCTCAGATGCTGCTGTGTTGACAGAACATCAAACCCAAAAGACAGAAAAAGCAAACATGGGTGTTGTCAAAAGGATAATGTAAATGTGACAACAATTGTTCTTCTGTTGTTACTGTAGTTACACTTCATTATTATACATCAATAGGTGACTGAAGAACAATTTATTGTGTCAGTTTCCCAAAAACAAGAGCTGTCTTTTTCAGCAAATACAGGTGCAAATCCAAATTGTGATGTTTCTGAACACTCTATTTATGCTTTGCGCGTCCACATGCCCTCTAAGGTCGAGTGACGTAATTTACGTCATCTTCCCAAGGGTCCATGTGGAAACTTTGCAGACATCTGGATGCAGGCCAGAAGTTTGTCTGTGCTGACGGTAAACACAGCAAAATCCCTGTCCATGCACACAGACAAAAGACACACCCTCAGTTTTAAGTATGAATAGGAATACGTGCATGTACCTCGCCCGTGTCCACGTATATACGAGGGTATGAGTAAAGCATGTCTGTCCCTTTAGGATGTGCATTCAGATGACTGTGGCGATCTTTGATATTTCTTAGGTTTCTTAATTTGGGAATAAAAAATGTCACCTGCTAAGTGGCAAAAATAATTACATGGTTGTATTTTCTTAAATTTAGTATAATTTCATTTAGGTAATTTAATTATCTTTGAATTCCCAGGCCTTATCAGCTAAATCAGTATGGAACTGGTGCCACACTTAGAACAACAACCCAGCTACACACACACACACACACACACACACACACAAAGTCAAAATGAGTGAAGTCATTCTTATACATCCTTTGGTATCCATGACTACATTGTCTGCAAAGGGTCCCCATTTGGCATTTATGAATTCTTCATTATCTCATCAGTGTGTGAATGTGTGCACATGCATTGTACTGTACTTTCCATACTCACACACATGTACACACACATGCACACACCTGTCGCTTTATTTGAGAACAGCTGCTGAGGTGCCCTGATCTGTCAAAATGTCTCCACTGACAGTGTGAGAGGATGAGAAGGATGAAAGACACAGCAAATAACAGAGAGAGCGAGAGATAGTCGGTGGGGACAGTTGGTGAAGAGGTGTGAAGCAGGGACAGGAGACAGGAAGACGAAAGAGCTGGTGAACAGAAATAGGAAAAAACAAAGAGAGAAAGAAGGAAGTAGGAGAAGACAGATCAAAAGAACAACAGTTGGGGCAGACAAGCAGGACGGGATGAAAGAAGCAAGGGGGCGATGACAAAGGGAAACAACAGAAAGGAAGAGACGACGAGGGGAAAAAGAGGTCAAGACAGGCTGCGAGAGACATCAGAGAAAGGTTTGAATTTTTAAAGGGTCATGAAATCCCCGAAGTGGACTTTCATGACTTGGCCCTGAAGTGATCCCTTCTTAGTGTGACTACACCATAAGAAATACAAAAACAGTCCTTATTCTGTGTAAATGTTCTCAGCAGAGTTCCTCTGAAGGTAATATCAGGCTTTAGCAGGCTGAGCTGGACACATCAAGTGTCTCTTTGTAGTATGAAACTCCCTCTTTGTGATTTTTTCCTCACTGAGCCAGCGTGTTCTCCTTCAAACATTGCTTCCCGTTACGTTGCCCACTGTGGTTGGGGTTAAGTTGAAGATTAGGTGATGATTAGTTATTAAAATGTTTGGGTTACTGGGCGCTAAGACTGAAAACAGCACTGTGGTAAAAGCCAGAAGATGTCTCAGTGGGGGTGGTGAGATGAAGACACACAGAGGTCCAGCTTGAGTAAATAGATTTATGTGTTTGGCTGCTTATCAGATTCTTGAACACTGCACACTCTCATTAAGATTATTGGATTTTTGCACTGTTGGGAAGGGTTTTACTCTTCTGAAAAGTTTATCAGTTTATCCACAGTTACAAAAGCAGAGTAATTACAATGTTTGCACTGCGTGGAGAACAAACAGGGCTGTTTGGAGACACTGCCATGGTTGTTTCTTTTATACTTCATTTCATGTGGATGGCCACACAGAGTCAAGGGTGGCAAAACGTCACTCAGTAACACAGTGACAACAGCACAACACATAGGCAGACACAACATATTACACTATATATTTATATGTTAAACAGAATATTCTGGACTGGCAACCTGTCTAGGGTGGACCCCGCCTCTCTCCTGATGTCAGCTGGGATTGGCTCCAGTCCCCCCATAGAATCTGAAGCTGTAGAATCTGAGGGTGTACTCACACTAAGTACTCCCACTAGGTCCAGTTGCCTTGCTCAATTGTCCCCACTCCCCCAGTGACCTGTGCTCACAATCCAGGCCAGATCACTGTTAGGTTACCATAATGCAACTGAGAAGTGCTCTCAGATAGCGTTCACGTTCATTGCACAGTGAGTGATCCCACTATGGGTACTGTGCCCAAGTCCAACTGAACCCAGCCCACCTTGAGCACGGTGCACTGAACAGTGCCCGGGCACAGCAGTGAGCGATCACACTAGTCAAACAAGCTGGACTTTAAGGATCAAATGTGCTCAGACACGGTACAGGTCACCTAGTGTGAGTATACCCTAAGATATTTTTGCAGGAGCTGTTAAAATATTGACTCTACAGTGAGACCCTGATGTTCATGGGCATTAAAATGTGTTTGCTGCATTAAAAACTCAACAAAAACGAGAAACAAAGAGGGGCAAATTAGCGTTGGGGGGGTTTGGTTTGGTAGAGAAAAGTGGTACGTGGAAGAACACTGCCCTGTGGTCAGATGTAGAAAAAATGGTACAACAACATCTAAAACTAATATGTGAGTTTAGGAAACAGTACAAATGTCCCCATTCACATTCTTGCAAATACCAATTGTTGTATAATCAGCGTCTGGAGCTTGTTTATATAAAACAAATGGTGCGTTCAGATGCAAGAAGATTACAGCTGCCACAGAACAAAGGGATTCGTCTTCCTTTGAAACATTGTTTCATAGGGAATTAAAACAGAGAAAGCTTCATCAGGCGAGCTGCTGAAGCAGGGAGAAAAATATGGAGGAACGTGAGCAGTTAGAGGAGAAAAGAAGTTTGGCGGGAACGAAAGAGAGCAATCAGTCTGTTTCATTGTCTTTCCAAGCCGCAGGCTGAGTCTCTTTAACAAGGTGTTATTGAGGGGGCTCACAATTGCTGCAATCAGTTACCTTTGTTTGAAAGTCTCCAATTCAATGTGGATTTTAAATATTGTGAGTGTAAATTAACTGTAATTTCAAAAGTGGTGCTGCTACAGAAATTTTCTTTTCGTTGACTCGTTGGAAAAAAATCCTTTTCATCTGCTCGCTCTCTTCTGCCCTCTGTGCTCTTTTCGTTCGCACAGGGAATAACAAGCATCTTTTTCACCGGCAGCGCTCGCTCTCCTCAGCTTTTCTGCTCCTTTCTTTCATGTATTTCACTTCTCATCCCTCTTTGGGTAATTAATCCTTCATGCTGTCAATAAACAATTTTACTCCCATCTCGTTTATTCTTCCCGCTCATCTCTATTTTCTCTGTTCCATCACCCTCGCCAATTCCTCTGTCCCATCTCTACACATATTCTAAGCACAGATTATCTGATTTACTTTTCTTCAGGCAGTTATTGCCATTTAGGTCAGCCTGACTGAGTAAGTGAGGGAGGGTGAACATCAATCCTTCATACCTAGAATAAATCAGGTTTTATCATCTGTAATTATCAGAGAAGACTTTTATGACCTGTCAGTATATTCATCATAAGAAAATTAACTGTTAAAACCTTCTCTCTCTTTTAGGTCTAAATCCTCAAATGTCATCAAGTAGGCATGAAAGAATATATAAAAGTAAACAAAATGAAGCTTCTAATATCTGTGTGACAACCATCATTAGCAGATATTAGTAGGTGTAGCTAGCACGTTTTAGCTAATTAATGCTTACACTGTGGTGTAGGGTCAAAATTATGCTATGCAAAGCATAAGGAGTTTGACTGTGGACGTGTAGATTTTATTTCCCTTGTTTGCCATAAGTTACAGCCAATGAATACAGTGACATTTTTCTTGCCTCCCATAACCTCTGGTTTAGTTTAAAATCTTAATTTAAAGCAATTAAAATACATTTTTTGAGTTATTTAAAATATATTCTAAGATCAAAGTTTGCATTTTCACTACTCAACATTGTCCAGTTTGTAACAGACCTGGCAAGATCATGCTGTGTATATAAAACTGTACTGCTAATTATTTCATTTTCTTGTTAAACCTAATTATTTGAAACCACTATTCATATTTAACAGGCTAAAGCTCCATGTTCACCTTGTGGCCAAATGTTTGCCGTAGGGTTTGAGGTCAGGACACTGTGCAGACCAGATAACTTTCAACTCCTAGATGCCTCTACTGCTCCAAACCTGCTCATGCCCTCACAGCTCTGTAAGACTGATTATTACCTGGAAAACACAAGGCATTAATTACCTCAGTGCCATATACTTTGTAGAATTACTTTGGAGGGTGAATATATTAAAAACCCCTCTTGGTATTATGCCATACAGTTCAGC